GCCAGTCTTTCCAAATATTTTTAAGTTTCATAAAACAAGCTTAAAGTGACTAAAATGACCAATGGGATCACAGTGAAGCAAAAACTTGGCGTGCATTTTATATATATATATCTTATCAATTAAATATTAATGCAATCCGGGCACGCTAAGTTTTTGCTTTACTTGGCATCTTTTTCTTTTTTTAATACTTATTTTTCTGGGTCTTTTTACAAGAATGAAATCAAATTTGTCTAAAATTCATTTTTATCTTAGAGTATCTTAAGTAAAGTATCTTATTTACAATATTATTGTAAATGAAATTTTGCAATTACGTAGAATTTTACTATTTAAAATTAATAATTGCACTTAAATAGTTTATTAAATTATTAAACATTGTTGCTGAATGCGCCTCTAAATTCGCTATTGTAACATCGCGGTTAATTATTTTGTATCCTATTAAAAATTCAATTTGTTTAACTCCTTGAACCTCTCGTAATAAATTCGTGCGTTAAATCTCTGTAAGACAAGTACCGTCGAAAAGCGAGGCGTCGCTTGCTTGCGTTTGCACGTTCATGAACATTTCTTCAGTGTCAATAACTACTGTCAACAAATATCCGTAACGCACACAAATTCGTGACATTGGCTTTATAATCTAATCGAAATCGATCATAACGCTTTTCGTTAGTCCAATCACAACGTTCCGTGCAACTATCCTCACATCGACGAGGAGGCGACGAGTTTCGTACATCTCTCGTTCAACGGAGAGTCGTCTTTCTGGTCCCGTCGTGTTAAAGTGTCTGCGCGTACAAACTTGTAAGCATCATGTACTTGTAAGCATCATGTAGAATCCGCGAATACTAATAGATAGTTTAATTATATTGTTGAAAAGAAGAAAACCTGATTTATCATTGATTAACTTTAAATCCCGCTAACAAACATAATTTATTATTTATATGTAAAATATGTAGCTACAGACTTACATAATTTATTTTACGAGCAAACACTTTGTAAATAAAACAGATGTTAATCATAATTGGACAGTACTATATTAAACTTGGATATTATCCATTTTTTAAGAAATTCATGTAAAATATAATTTTCGCATTTATATTATACTTTTAAGAACTTTATTTAAGTCACGATATGAAGTACAAATAAACATGGAATAATATAATTTTCTAATAAATTTCAAAAGCTTGCGCATTTTTGAATTGCAATATGTGGATGTTTCAATCGGTATATTCTGATTTCGGTTTTAAATCGATTAATTTCGATTCGATTTATTACATAGGAAGTGGATTTCAGAGTTTTCACAGACCCGATTAGTCGGTAGGCAATCCTCGTCGTCGTCTGTTTTATCGAACGTGATTATTTTCCAGCATAAAATAAAATAATATTTTCCAAAACAAAATAAACATAATTAAAGGAAACAGATTTAAAAATCCTTTTCCACGATTAAAGTGTAAACATTAATGCAACTCAGGCTGGTTGTTGCGTAGAATAAAAGTGAAAGTCGTGTACGCGACGCCAACAAAAGAATCTAGTCGGATGAATCACCCGCGTCATACACCCAAACGGAAAACTATGCGTTCGTTATCGGGGGTCCGGCACGGCCTCTCAGACAAATAAATATATCGCAGACATCTGGCAGCAAAAACTTTCACTTTATAAAAACACGTATTCTAATAAAACGCCGTCGCCGCCACCGGGGCGCCGTCGTGGTCACACCGTAACGATCCCATTGGCGATACCATCCCTCCGAGTGACGTGTTCGATAGCCAACCGATTCTTGAGGGATGTGCGGGTCACAACGGGATAACGCGTCAGTAACGGGAATGCAACGCGGAGAAAACGCTATATATGACGAGCCTTCGGAAGCGTGCTAACAATCGTTTCGATCTCGGATCCGAGTAGACACGCGTGCCGACTTCTTTCGATATACATTCGCAAGTACTAATCTTCCTTCGAGACCGAACTCTCCGAGAAGAGTGCCGCGACGAGAGATCCGATCGGACATTCAGTGACGAACTGCATCGGCGAGTCGCGAACACGTGTCGAAATATCGCGTATACTCGGCGCGGTGTGATTCGGAGACATCAACCGCGCAATAGAACCATCCACGATTCGCGGATCCTTCACGAGAACGAGCACGCAATCACGTTAAGCTTCCGAAGTGACGCTACTTGCGACGTGGATACGCGTGCAGCGGACGCAGCCGGCGTAGCGAGTTCCGGTCTAGCGTGCCGCACGCAGTGGGAGGCCGAGCCCTCCGGCAAGAAGCCGAGTCTTCACGCCGCCTGAGGACGAATCCTCGCAAATCGAGGCCGAGTCCTCGCCAAATCGAGGCCGAGTCCTCGCCGAACGAGGCCGAGCCCTCGACAACCGAAATTGCGACTTACCTGCCGCACCACCGAGGCCGAGCCCTCGACAACGCAGATTTGCGACCGCGTCACTCCGTTGACAGAGTGCTGTATAATTGATGTGGTGGACTCATTTGCATACATCAATTACATAATACATACAATTGACAGAACAGTAAACTAAACAAAACAATAAACAGAACAATATACTAAACAGAACAATAAACTAAAGTGTTTTTTTTTATACGAAATGAGTGTATGGAGTTAATCCTCCCCACACACGATCCTTCGACGATCCACTGGTAGATCTGTAGTTTATGCTAAGAAAGAAAAAAGTTTGTGTAGAGCTGTCGACGCGTATCAATATATTTGCTTCCTAAAAAAATTTGGCAGTTTGTTAGTACAAAATGATACCAACCTGAGCTGCGAATTACATGTGTATAAAACAATGTTGAGTTAATAAAATTAGGTTTGGATGCGTAATAAAAAAGATGTATATGCCATGCTTGAAAATTTGTTACGATGTGTGCGTGTGATATTGATAGGGTAATAAACATGAACACGTACATCACTACACACCTTATATAAATGGAAGGGGAATGGAAACTAAAAAATGTCTGATGGAAGTGAGAAAGGAATCATATACGTGATCTCTCTCTTGTGAGTGGTTTTTTGAAAGTGCTGCTACAGAAATATCAACAAACACTTTAGTTATAGGTATTGCTTGAATTGAAGAAAAATTGAAGGAATTGAAGAATATAATTAAAAAAATTACTTTATAATTCGAATATAGTCTTTAAATGAGAAAAATCTAAAGAAAGAAAAAATATTCTGAAAAATAGCTATAAAATTAGTGCGCAAGCGATAAAGTTATATTGAAAAGTGTGAAAAGTTTAATTGATGTGCATGATATTCTTTTTACCAAGTACTATAAGGAAATAAATAAGTACATTTCATACAATATTGTTTTATTACATTTTATTGATTTTTAATTAAAATCAATTTGTTAAATTTTTACTTTACAAATTCCTTTCTTGTTTTATCTGTGGCGCATTTCCCTTCGTGAAATAAACGAAGAACTGCATACGTTTTAATAATCGCTTTTATCAGTTTGGTTTTATAATTGTTAATGATCCCCTGTTTAATATGCTTGGTCATGATATCGTCAAATACATTAGTCCTATATGCATTAGTACTAACTGCGTGAAATGTTCTGATTATTAACAACTGTTTGATATTTTTGTGCGTGAAAAGAATATGATTATATTGACGTATTATTTAACGAATATATACAACGAAAATATGTATATACAAGGCACTGGTTTTGGCCGCACAACGATACACCTTGAACACTTTATCAGAAGCGTTTGAAATGATCGGTACACAACCTCTGGTTTGAAATAATCGGTACACAACCTATGTGAGATACACATATCTTCTTCTGTCAGCCCACAGAATTTCAATCATTGCTTCCTGATACACCCCTTTGATGGAAATCTATTGATAAGATCCCTTACAAAAAAATATGATTGGGAGCCAATGATATTATTGACCAATAGTTACTATTGGTCAACTGTAATTTGGCGAATAGTAACTATTGGCGAATAGTAACTATTGGCGAATAGTAACTGTTGTACACTATTCGCCAATGGTTAGAAGAATAATTACTATTAGTTAATATGGTTTTTTATATATATTTTAATGAAAGATTCGTAAATACAATGTAAAACTCAATGTTTTATCAATGGCACATTAATATTTTGAATAATAACATTTCTAACAATTGGCTTAAGATGAGAAAAGGCCAATGTGGTGGTCAAAAATCTTTGGTGCTTAATTATATCTATGTATGAATCTTAAAATTTCCAGATCAATAACTTTTTTTTTTATGTTATATTAAGATTCTATGATGGGTGTTCAGTTGGAACCAAACAAAAACAATCAATTTGTTAAAACAGTTCAGAGGTATATAATATTTTATTCTAATTCTAAATACTCACGATTACAATGTAAATCATGTAATTATCATAAATCTATTTGGAAGCAAATTTTTTACTTGTTTCTAATAAATTATATTATGAAAATTTTTGTTTATTAATACATTTAAAGTTAAATTTTTGTTATAAATAAATTAGTTAACGTGTAACAAAGAAAACAATAATTTGAAGAAACAAGATCCTTGATTAAATTTGTCTTTATATTTAAAGTTAAAGAACTTTTATTATAACAGATTAAAACATTACAATTACAGTATAACAATTACAGTATAACAAAAAAATATCTTTTTTGTAATTAATTTTACTTATAGAATTTAATAAATAAAACTAAATTAATTAAATATGCTTTTATAAATCAAATATATATTGAGATAATGCATATTTGTCTTGAAACACAGTTCTTTACGTGGGGCCGGAATCCACTGTTTTAAGACTAACGAATATGCGGCACGCAGTTCGCGTGTGGCTGGATATTGTAAAAATTAATACACACCAACACCTGTATCGGCTCGATAGGCATTACTGAATACATATTTGATTTATTCTTACGAGCCTTCTTTTATTACTTCAATTTATGCTTTATAATCTTCTTCGTCTTCCTCTACCATTTAATCGGTCTTTCTTTATGCTTTATGATCTGCGCTTTCTACCGATGAAGACTTACGTACAGCTTTCTACCATCTTTTCGGCGATCTTTCGGGTGGCTGCCATTTTGCTGGCTTATTATGTCTTGCTAATTTTATTAGATGTCGCATACGCATGTCATCTGCTTTCTCTATATGGTTATTCTACTCTCTCGTTCTTTAGTAAATTTTATAATATCTGTAAAATCTTTAGTAAATTTTATAATTTTATAATCCCGTATTCTTCTCTGATCGTTTTATTTCTTATTCTGTCTTTTCTGGTTTCTTCTGTGTTATTGCCTATGCTTG